ATATTATATTGTTCTGTGCTTGGATCATTGAGTAAATAATATAATAGAGGATCACTTTATCTATTCGATGACAACGGGTAGAGCGCGCTACGTACCACATTAATTACAGTCGTATACCAMTATACCAGTACTACCGTGAACCTTCTACCATGATTTTAATCAATGTTTAGACAACAATTTTTGATTTCATTAATAAAATTGTTTATATTGTTGTGATAAGAAAATTGTCAATCGACGATCTGCGATCGTAATTTTAAACGTTAAAAATAAGATACTTCCACGCCCGTTTTCGCATTTAAATTAAGTTCTACTTTTTTGTATATAGTATTCATCGTGAGTATTAATTTTTGTTTTCATAGTAYCTARTTACACAACAAGCGGAAAGAATGTCCGATAAACAGGAACCGAACGGTAAAGGGACAGCCGCAAATATAACCGATCAAGAACGTGATTGGGCTCAGCAAGCACTGGCTGAATATGAAAAAAAAAATTATAAAACTTGCCTAGAACATCTGCAGCGAATCGAAGAGTCAAGGCCCAACGATCCCAAAGTATTGCTCAATAAAGCTGTCGTTGAGTTCTACGAAAGTGGCTTGTGCACGGCTGACAAGTTTCAAAAGTCAATTATAGATGTCTGTAAGCAGGTAATCTACTGTAACATGACAGATACCGAATTGGTTTAATTTTGGTCACTTTCTTTTTCAACATGCCTATATTTACAGGTGGAATTAAATCTGGAACTGTTGGATTCTTTAGAAGATGTTGAAAACTGCATTTACTATTATAATTATGCAGTGTTTTTGTATCACTTGAAACACTACACGAAAGCATTAGCTATGATAAACAAAGTCTACTCATTTATAGAATCTCTGGGTAATTGATTTTGTGTGATTTTTAATTATTATGTTCATATATTAACTATTGAACTTGTTATAGAGGAAAGTTTAGCTCATAAAGTATGCCTACTGATAGTCCAATTACATATTGATACTAACAAACCTGCAGAAGCACTGAAATTGATTACTTACATTGAAAGTCAATTTGTGTCAACAGATAATGCTACTAACATATTGACTGGTAGTGCAGATCAAGGGGGACCTATACACCCTGAAACTGAAAAAACTGAAAAAGTATAATTTATAATAATATGATTGGGTTTCTAACTAATATAATTTTCAAATAAATACATCTTAATTTTCCAATTTTGTAGAAAGCTAATTTAGACGCGGCTACAGATGCATTTCGAGTCAGTCTTATTCAGTATCGAGTTAGGTCTCTAATGGATCTAAATTTATTTGACGAGTGTAGTCAGCAACTAAATACAATCAAAGAAAATCAGGTAAAATATCCGCCTACTATTTTTTTTATAAACAATTAGAATATTTTTGCCTACAAATTTTCTTTTATATTTTTCCAGGACTCGATAACAATGTTTTTAACTGGAAAGTTAGAATACCTTCGTGGCAATCATAAAGAAGCACTTGCAATTTTAAAAGAAATCCCCGTAAAAGAMAATTTTATGTAAGCACGTTTCACATCACAGATTTTAATTTAGTTATGAAATTTATCAATTATCAACGTTTATGTTACAGAGAGACTGGAGAGTCTTCTTCAGTTTTGATAAATAATAATGTAGGATGCTTGTACCATTATGCTAAAAAACCTACCTTGTCATTCACATCTATTTACAAAGCAATTGTTCAACACCAAAATAATATCACTGATGTAACAAAAYCTAATCAAGGTATTGAGTAATAACAAATTATTAATCTTATAATTTATAAATTATATATTATGGATTTTGAGTAGCTGAAGGTAGTCTATCAGGTCAACCACTTCATATAATTGGTGCAAGCATTAAAACTGAGCTTATGTTCAACTTGGGCATCAGTCTATTACATGCACGGAAACCCGAAGAAGCATTTGACTGTCTAATTGAAGCTGTACAAACTTATCATATGAACCCTAGGCTATGGTTAAGATTAGCGGAATGTTGTATTATGACTCACAAAAAAGTAAGTTGGTGTGCTTACGTTAAACCTTAAAGTATGGAAATATACAGGCATATTTTGATTATAGAGCAATGACAGAGACTTTGATTTCAAAAAACCTTATATTGAAGGTGTTGTTGGTTCTGGTAAACATAGGAAAATTATTTTGAAGTCACAATTGTTTCCAGACACAAAATACAGGTTAGTTTAAGACAAATTGTGTGTTCAAAAATTGTTGAATTTAATTATTYTTCAACCTTACAGTTGTGAAGCAGTTTCTGCATCTATTCCAATGCCAAGTCTCGAATTCGGTTCATTGTGTGTTCGTAATGCAGTTTTATTACTTCGCAATGATACTATTGACTGTTCACCTTCTCACACGTCCATCAACACATCACACAAAGACTATCTTTTTGGCTGTATCCAATCAGCTGGAGCATATATTGCCTTATGTCTAGGAGATCCAGTGGTTGCATTGAAATATTCACAAGAGTTACTTAAATCTGACAAAATCAATAAAGTCCATAAGTCAGTTCCATGCGATTGTTGTCTATTTAGTATAACATGTAGCTCTGTTACATTACAAATTATTATATTTTTCTATTTATAGATTTTTAGGCCATTTATATGCAGCCGAAGCACTGATATTGTCGGATAAACCAAATGAAGCAATAGATATGCTTAAAGAATCTAACGCTTTTGACGATATTGAACCTGAAATACACGAACAGCTTAGAGCTGAACAATGGAAGCCAGACAAACAGAAATCTGCCAAGGCTGTTCTTTATTATAACTTAGCGGTAGCATTGACACTAAGAGGTGACCTTGATAAAGCTGGAGAGTTACTTAAACAAGTAAGATCAAAATTAAAATGTTATTTCCATTTTCTAATTAAATTACATTGTACGGATAATAGCATATTTTAATATAAATTATTTCTAATAAATGTCTGTCACATGAAATACGTGTAAACAGTTTAATCACGCAAATCCACCTAATAACGAGCACTTTTGTTTTTAATAACCTGTTAYTTTGAGTATAATCTATCTAAATATTATTATTATATGTAATTATTATTTTACTAACAAATATAATAATTATGGCACTTTCAGATATGGCTGTCGAAAATCGAACATGTTTCAGTACCTGTTCACGTGGTCATATTGGCTCTGTATATTCACTTACGATTAGGTAAGAAAATTTGAAATGTTCTAGATAAATTCCTGTAAAGTGTGTTCTCAAATATTTTCATATCTGTTTCAGGCCAAAAAGAAATTGCAATAACCCTAATAAAACAAAATTGCCCTCAAGCAAAACGATAAGGGAAACAAAATTTTAAATTACTATAAAATTATTATTTATTACTAATAACAACAATAATATTATACTTGCATGTATTATATTTTATTTTATATATATGTAAGTATATGATAGTATAGATATCAATAAAAATTGAAAAAATAAATTGTTTACATTACTTAAAAAAAAAAAAAAATACAACAACAACAAAATACAATTTTACTCTCTCTCTCCTTTTTTCTCTTTATAATATTAAAAAAAAAAATATATTATACATAAATAAAATATTTTTAAAGATTTAACACTTGAATTCGTATTTTATATGTTTTAATACTATTTCACTTAACGTATTTCCTATACGCAACTGAATTTTACTCCTGCAAACACATCAATGGCAAAATATTATAATCACGGCGACCACTTGATTACTGGATAATTAAAAGTAGGTGTGATTAACATTTAACAAACAAGACGTACCATCATCACTCGAAAAACAATTGTGACAATGCAACTTTTTGTTCCTGACCCGCACGTCAGTTCCCATTAAACCGTCGCCCAACTGCACGCAACAAACGCAACACTTGAAGCATTCAATATGATAAAACAACTGCAGGCTCTCAATGATCATGGCGGCACCGCGACCAAGTTCCATAGCGCAGTGCGAACACTTCTTCTTGCCACTAACGCTCAACATGGATTCTTGTGGAGCAGCGTCACTAGTGATGTGATYGTGTCTATAAAAGTCACATTCGACAGAATCCATCGTAAATATAGGTGTTCTCATGTCGTTTCAGAGACAAAAATTAGTCTGTATACATTATACTGGCGCCCTTGTGAATTTATTTTATTTTTTATATATGTATGTTTTAGGCTAAATTTAGAAATGCTTTTTTTTTTTGGAGATAAATATTTTATATATTAAATTATAAATACCTATTTGAAATTGTACATTTTTAAGAAATTCTTCCGAGTTAAATGTCATATTTATTTTTATTTTCATTTTTTATATAATTTCTATTATAATATTAAAATGAATATACTTGAATTTAGC